CCGCTTATTACATGGCCACATTCTCAACAAAGTAACGACATGACTCCCAATATTAATTCAAATGCTTTTATGGATTTAGAAAATATTTTTATTGATTTAAAAAATAGTTGTATGTATTGATTTAAATTTACATGCATCCGCTAAGAAAAATAGTCCGTTGTTACCGTTTTTTAAACAGTCAGAATGAAACGGCAGCTCTCAGCTGTGTGTTTACACTCCTAATGGCCCATCACAGCTCTCTCCCCCCCCCTGATCTTTCTTTTCCAACAGTTAAGTTAACTGTAGGTTACTCTGAGTGACAAGCTTACAGTTAGTGAAGTAACACTTTTTTTTTGTGAGTCACGACCTCGCTGTTTCATTCTAACATAACGCTTCAAATATGACTGTTTCCACTCGGACTTCAATACAGCAACACCCTTGTTTGGTTTCCATGGTAGCGTGTCTCTTTAGTAGCGTGCACTCCTTTCCTGTAAATTACAGGTCCAGCCAGGCAAAACAGTAATATGAAATATGAACGTTAGTTTTTAACTGAAATGATCAAATAAAGTCAAAATGTCACAGTGTTTACAAACATTGACCATACCGTTCACCAGCCCCCACCCCACTATTGCCGCGTTTCCACTACACGGCCTCGCTCGGCCCAGCTCGGTATGGCTGGGCCTCGTTAGGACTGGCTCACTTTATGGCGCATTTCCATTACAGTTTAGGAACTGGGGCAGTATCTATAGTAACGCAGTGTAGGCGGAGCCGTGACGTGATCTTCAGAGGACCCCAGAAAAACAACACAGCCGTTAGCTGTTAGCACTCAGAGCTCACAGCTCCTCATATATGTTCAGAAACTAGACAAAAGTTAAACAAGTACAATCCACAGACTGCCTGTGTCATGGTGAATACAGTCGCTGCTTTATTTATGTCTGTATAGGCCGTTGTTGTGAGTGTGGACGGTCGGGGCATATACTGCGTTAGCTTAGCCAATCTCCATTTAGAAAACAAGCATTTTAAAAGGTTTTTCCCCTGCCGTCTGTCTGCAGACTTGACAAAGCATTAATTCATGGTTTTTACTAACCGGTATCAGTATGTTGTTACTTCGGCATCATTTTGAAACGTGTATTACAATTAAATCACGGTCAAATATGTCCATCTTGTTGTAGTTGTTGCCCCCTTGCCAGCGACGCTCTCTCTAGTTTAGCATACTCAGCCCGACTCAGCCTCGTTGTCTCGGCCCTGGCCCCACGATTTTATGAGGCCAGAAAAACTGTGAATTAGGACCCGCCGGCCGGTACTAGGCCAAGTGGAAACGCAACCAAAGACGGGCCGCTGACGTCACAGCCCTCTTAAACCGGGCTGCGGGCTGTAGTGGAAACGCGCCATTAGTTGAGTATAGCCTACTCTTTGTTTAAAACGAATTGGCCATCGGAATGTGTGTGTCCCAACCCCCCCCCCCTGTGATATCTCTTCTCCAGCAGTCTGTAGGTTTGTGTTCGCAGATCATCACCCTTAGCTATTTCAATTACCTCTCAAACAACCTAAACTAGTTATAAATGTTTATTTTAAATAAAGTATGTTTCTTCACATGTTAGGTCTATATTGAAGGTTCATTGAAAGTAAAGCTTACTTTGGTTCTTGTGCTCTAGTTCTTCAAGGAATCTTACTGAGAACGTTATGTTTCCTCTGACTGCTTATGCCAAAAGCAACGACAAATTATCTGTTTTAAATACCTTTTTAGACCGTAAACTTTAGAATGAAATGTAATACCGGTTAGTTTTTTGTGTTCATACTGACAGAAGAAGAAATAAATTAAGTATGAATGAGAATAAGACTTATGTAATGTATTGACATTTGATCAGTATAAATGTATTACTAACTTTATCCACTGTGGTACCGAAGCTTGGATCACCGCCAAAGACATGGCCGAGGGCAGCTGGCAGCTTTCAATATTTTTCATGTGCGATTCTAACGCTTTCAGAAAGTGAAACATACAGCATCATTTGAGAAAAATAAATCAAAATAAGCGTTATAAATGAACCCTGACTACTTGTGTTTAGGACTCACTGTATTTTGGTACTCTCTAGGTCTGTGGGCCAAATCCGTGTGTGTGTGTGTGTGTGTGTGTGTCTTTATGACTCAGAATATGAATAAATTGGGATTTGATATGGGGGGGGGTTCTGTTAGAAGGTGCGACGGGGGAGGGGGGGAGAGAGTTAGACGCTCGTGAATTGTCAACGGGGGGGGGCCTCTCTGCACGGAGGAGCCGCGGAGAAGTGAATCACAGTGATCTGCTATTTTAAAGTAAATTCAACACATATCGACCCTAAATATAGCATATATTAAGAACGAGAAAGTGTTAACATCGTTTTTTGTAAACATATGACCAATGTGCGAGGGTGATGACATCAGAGCATCGTCCTATGGGCTTAGCCCCGGACAGGTACAACAGGTATTCACTCAGAGGGGGGTAGTTACCCATTTACATGTCAAAAAGCAACATACAGTAGGCGGGTGGGGGATGGTGAACGTTTACATTTCTCTACAGAATACATTTAATTTAAGGGGAGCAGTTACTGAGAAGTATATAATGAGAACTGCTACCAATGGTGGCCTATTTAGTTTATTAAGAAATACATATTTGTAGCTTTTTTTTTATCTGCAGTAGGAAATGCAGAGAGTAGCGACAGGGCTGGTCCAACCTGATCTGTAAAGTGATCTAACTAAGTGCTATTCATTTTCTTGACGGGGAAGTGCAGTGTAAATGGGGGGCTTATATGCATTTGAAAAGCAATATAAATCACACAGTTCGTATACAATAGGCATTAAAAGCACCATCGATAACCATTGCCCTTCTCCTATTCAAACCAAAAGAGAAAATGCAGATATTACACTCTGAAAAGAAAGGGTAGACATATCTGTACTCTTAGTGCCAAGTAGCTAAGCTATTCATTCGCAGAAATGTAAAGTGATCTATCTAAGTTCTATTCATATTCTTGACGGGAAGAGTTAGTATACAATAGAGTTAGAGTTAGTATACTTTAAAAGCCTTCTCCAAATCAAACCAAGATATCTTGGGTATTCACTCAGAGGGGGGTCGGTGAACCGGGCAGAGTTTTTCGCCGGTCAACGTGTGTGAAAGTTTAAAGTTCAATCTTCCTTATTGAGCTTTATAACAAATGAATAACGACTATATATTATAATAAAACTATATATTGAGCTTTAAAACAAATGAATAACGAATTAATAACGACTATATATTATAGGAAATGAATAACGACTATATATTATAATAAAACTATATATTATTATAAAACTACATATATAGTTATATAATAAAACGACTATATATTATAATAAAATAAACACCGGCTGTTGTTATGCCTGCTGTAACGTTTACTTACTCCGTTCTCCGCTTAAGTAATTATGCCGTTACAAGCTTCATAGTTGTATTTATCATCTAAATTTGCCGAAACAAGTTTAATATTCTGAAAGCCAAGACTTTGTTTATTTGAAATCAGATGAAAACAAACTGTAACGGACCCATGTTATTCATATTCCGAGTCATAAAGACTTTATTTAAAATAAACATTTATAACTAGTTTAGGTTGTTTGAGAGGTACAGCTACCATTCTTTAATTAGATGTTTGATAAGTGCATGCAGATCACATAGTAAAACACGTACACAGATACATTATTTTGTATTTTTATTAAATTCGACAATGTCAATTTCACTTTCCACTATGTCCACCGTTGTTTTTCACAACCAATGGCAGAACTTTATTGAGGCCTGTAATTAGTCAACTACAGGTCTCTTGGGTCAGTCTTTTTCTTCCAAAAAGCTTGTGACAAGATGTTATTGCTCTTGGGGCATTAAAAACAAGATTTTAACTTTAGTTTTTTATATAATATCTGCATTTTCTATTGTGAAAAACTAAGTCTTAGTTTGGCCATAGTTATTTAATATATAGCGCCATCTCCTGGTTAAACCCTGAAATTGGAGAATAGTGGGAGGGCCTAACATTCCTGGATACTGGTCTTTGGCAGGTCTTAGGCAGGTAACTGGCTGGCAGTAGGCAGGAAGCTGTATGCTGGCGTCCAAAATAAGATGCCCCATCTGTAAGAACACCCTTCCTTGGAAAAGGCTGACATTAGTTGATAATTTGGATTTTAAATTGTTTAAGGGGAATAGAAACTCTGCTAAAGTTAAACTTTAGTTTCACATTGGTTACTGTGGTTGATGTGGTTTTGATTAATGTTGAAATATGACATATGCTCTGCTGATGTGGTAATGTCACTGCTGTGATATTAATGTTTGACTGGCTGTGTTTGATATTACTTTTGCATTGTTTTAATTGGTATATGGGGATCAAAATTGGGGGTTAGGGATTGTGGGTCCTGAAGCTGCCCTAATTACCAAGGAGTCTCCCAATGACACAGGGCTTCCCCTCCAGGGGCAGTTTAGATACTGCTCTGGGGTTCTACCAGCCCACCAACACCTACTACACTATACACTCCGTTTTGCTATCCTAGCGGTCGGACATCCGAGGCTGGAGTGCCTAAAATAGGGATACGACGGGCAGTTTGGTGTTAGAGGCCACGCTGTAAGCGCCCCCCTAAGCAGATTACGTTGATACGTTGTAGATTCTGGGGAGTTTAGTCCTAAAAAGATTGGACGGCCGTTCACCGGAGCCTTATCAGCACCGGAGCTCGGTATCGGAGACGGCCTAGATATTAACGTTGGTTGTATCGAAGTTAGATTCCTTTTCAATGTGATGATCTGATGGTATTTATAAAGTATAATCATGAAAAGTGGTGGTGATGACAAGGTGATGATGGTTTGTTGTTTACCTTTGAAGTATATCCTGGTTTCACAAACATGGTAAAATCATAAATGATGAAACTAGGATCAGTTAGTGGTGAAGTCTTTAAACTACATCATGTTTTATGATAAAGGTTGTTTACAGACTTGAATCACTTAAAGAGTAACAGGGTGAATAAACTGAGCACTTTACCTGTTGAGTTGTGTTCTCCTTCAGCCTGGAGTCCTGAGGAGAAATCAGAAGATAAGGTAAACAGAGTTTTCTATCATCTCAGAAACACGTCAGCGAACTCACTGTGGAGTCATTTCACCAGTTTACTAAAGCTGAGAATAACACGTTCATACAGAGAAGTCACATATTCAGAGTTAAAGCAGTTGAGTTTAGAGAATATGCTCCTTCAATTCAAATGAGTCATGGTGCACCATCATCACACTGACACATGTTCTACAGCAACAATTACATTAGGAGGACCCACAGAGGATGCTGCCAGTTCCTACCTTCTGTTGTCACCTGAACGCCTCACTCCCCTAACACTAACTGCAGACGTTAACTAACTGACCTGTACCTGTTTTAATATGACCTGGTATTGTGTGTGTGTGTGTGTGTGTGTGTGTGTGTGTGTGTGTGTGTGTGTGTGTGTGTGTGTGTGTGTGTGTTGATGTGTAAGTGTTTGATGCTCTGAGTTTCCGATTGCATGTGTGTGTATCCTCAAGTGTGTATGTGTGAGTGTGTGTTTTTGTGAATGTATTTGTGTGTGTGTGTGTGTGTGTGTGTGTGTAGAGGGCGTGTGTGTGTGTGTGTGTGTGTGTGTGTGTGTGTGTGTGTGTGTGTGTAAGACAGCATGAATGTATGGACCCCACCTTTGTCTAAAACCCAGACTTTGTGAATGTATGTCTATAAACCAGATGGTGTGTGTGTGGTCGCCCCTTACAGCTCAGTAGCTGAACGTCTCCAGGAAGCTGCTTCTACTCAGTGACCTCTGCTCTTTCTGATGATGATGATGATCTCTGTGTTTACTCCAGGATCCTGCCTGCTCTGATCCATGCTGTACCACCTTCAGAAGGGGGGGGGGGTGCATGTGTGTGTCCTCAAGTGTGTGTGTGTGTGTGTGCGTATGTTTGTGTGTGACATTGTGTGTTTTTGTGTATATTGTTTGAGCGTCCTCCCATGTGTGTGTGTGTGTGTGTGTGTGTGTGTGTGTGTGTGTGTGTGTGTGTGTATGTATGTACATTTGTGTGGGTGTGTGTTTGTGTGTGTGTTTTTGTGTGCATGTAAGTTGGCGTGTCTCTGTGATTTGTGTGATTGTGTTTAACAGTGAGTGAGTGTGTACGTGTGTATTTAAAGTGACCCCACTGATGCCTAAAAAAGAGACTGTGTGTATATATGGATCCCACCTCAGTACCTCTGTGTGTGTGTGTGTGTCAATGTAAATATGTGTGCGTAAGAGTATGTACATGTGTTTTTGTGAGTGTGTTTGTGTGTTTTTTGTGTGTGTTTGTGTGTGTAACACAGTGTGTATATAGACCCCACTCATGCTTAAAAACCAGACGGTGTGTATGCGGACCCCACTCATACACACACACTCAGACAGCAGTCAAAGAAACCACAGGTAATTCACAATAATGAACAATGGTGTAGGCAGACTCATTGAAAGATGCAACAATAGAGATCAGTGTGAATGATATAATAGAGGTATTAGAACGTGTTAGAGGACTCACACTTTGAGTTGGCTCTACACAAATATTAATGCCTTCATATAACTGAGTATAAACACACTGATGGGATGTTCAATACAACATGTATTATTATTGTGAGTGAGTGTGTGTGTGTGTGTGTGTGTGTGTGTGTGTGTGTGTGTGTGTATGTGTGTGTAAGACAGTGCGTGAAGTGACCCCATGTATACCCCAAAACCAGACTGTGTGTACATATGGACACCATCTAAAAGTCGGTACCTCAGTTTGTATGTTTGTGTGTGTGTGTAAGTGTGTGTGTGTGTGTGTAATATAGTGTGTAAAGTGACCCCGATGCTTGTATGTGGGGGGGTCTCTGTGTGTGGTCAGTGTGTGTGATTGCATGTGTGTGTATGTGTTTGTGTGTTTGAATGGCTTGCTTTCAGTGTGTGTGTGTGTGTGCGTGTGTGTGTGTGTGTGTGTGTGTGTGTGTGTGTGTTTGAATGGCTTGCTTTCAGTGTGTGTGTGTGTGTGTGTGTGTGTGTGTGTTAGTGACCCAATGGTGCCTACAATCTGAACAGTGTAAATATATGGACCCCACTTATGCTTAGAAACCAGACGGTGTGTGTATGTGGACCCCACTCATGCACACACACTCTGACAGCAGTCAAAGAAACCACAGGAGGAAAATCCTTTTTCACTTGGGCGTAATTTCCACTGGGGACATGTCCCCTCCACTTTTCGAGAGACAGAGAGAGAGAGAGAGAGAGACACACAGAGACACAGAGAGACACAGAGAGACACAGAGACACACAGAGACACAGAGAGACACAGAGACACAGAGAGAGAGACACACAGAGACAGAGAGAGACAGAGAGAGAGACACACAGAGACACAGAGAGACAGAGAGAGAGAGAGAGAGAGAGAGAGAGAGAGAGAGAGAGAGAGAGAGAGAGAGAGAGAGAGAGAGAGAGAGAGAGAGAGAGAGAGCGCACCAGTTACGGGGGTTGTTGTTAGCATCTGGTGCTAGCTCTGAGCTAACGGAGATTGTAAACTGTCTCAACAGTAAGGAGAGGGAGAGCTCTCTCCTGGGGGACTGAGAGAGATCACGTCCGCTCAGTGAGCTAAAGGACTCTCTGAGGGATTAGATTGTAAACTTTAGTCTAAGTTATCTCAGTGGCTCTCAAACGGCTTGCTCATCTTTGTAAACACATATCTCCATCTATTTAATATAGGCCTAGTTGTAACAAATAAGTTAATAAATCATTCCACTGTGTGCTATAGGTCAGTACACAAATAAAAGACTCAGTTTGAAAGGGGAGTGATTAGTAACATATGCATCAATACAAAGAAAGGATGCAGACTAGGTGAGATACAGAGAGGAGAGAGGAGGTGATCAAATATGTGTTATTGCTTGTGAGCATATTCTAATGTTTTTTTGATGATTGAAATATATACAGTTCTGTTTCATCTGAGTGTTGAGAGCTGTATCCATACATCTCTTCATGTGGCCTTCAAAGTGCACCAGATTGATGCTTTAGCTTCAATGTAAAGAAACACATCAGGTTCACATGGAGAGGACACTAGATCCATCTGCACTCTCATCATATACACCACACACTTCTCTTGGCCTTGTTAACACCATAGTCCCTAATATATTTGTAGAAAGGCAGGAAATGGAATTAAATAGAGAAAATGTTTCATTGCGGAGGACCCCTGTTTTGTGCCCCCCCACTTCTCAAACCAAAGTTACACCCTTGTTGAAAACAAACTCTTTCCGTAGTTTCTGCTGATTATGCAACTGATGACGTGTCTTCATTTGATCTGATCATCATCATCATAAAAAAACCTGTACTTAAGCACATCCCAACCACACCACACACACACACACACACACACACACACACACACACACACACACACACACACACACACACACACACACACACACACACACACACACACACACACACACACACACACACACACACACACACACACACCACCAGCGATAAGGACAGGGAGCTATTGCACAACTGACCCACTCTCTAAAGACACTCTCTCTAGGCGTCAGCGCGGCCTCCGGAGAAAACAACTCGTAATGTCTGAATATAAAGACGATAAAGGGGAGATCAATAAAATATATATTTACCCAAAGAAAATTGTGTGTGTGTGTGTGTGTGTGTGTGTGTGTGTGTGTGTGTGCGCCCGGTCTACAGAGAGGGCATGTGAGGACCCACTAACCCGTCATGTAGATAAGATCAACAGCATGGCCAACATCACTGCGTAGAGACACAGAAATAAAGAGCAGCATAGAAACCACGTTTGAAACTCCGTGTGCACGGCGGCACGATCACTGGGAACACAGCACTCAGGAGCAAGGCACACATTCACAATAACTAAACAAAGCAGCTTTGCTTGGGCCTTCAACTTGGGCAACCGCTGACCGAGCAGCAAACACAGAATACAGAGTAAGCACCAAGATGTTTATTCCACATGCAAACCATCTCCCTACTGCGTGATACTTTTCAGGTTCCCACATTCTGCAGTGGAGACCCCGAAAGTTAAGGCAGACTTAAATGCCCCTATGACACTTGGCATGGCTACCAGGGTCTTGTGGTGGTGAGGAGTGTATTAAAGGTCCATTTCCCATCACCTCGGGGCGTATAGAGCCTTCAATGTGTGCAAAGAAACAGTTCGAACACAACATACTCTGCTTCTACAAGTTTAGTGCTGGTCAATTCCTGATTGGTCTGAATGTGGGCCAATCACAAATCACAAAAGTCTGTACAACACATGTAGAGTATTTGACGTAGGATATATTTAATACATTTGAATTACTATCTAAGATGACACACATCGTAGCATTAAAGTGCACCATGTCTGTGATGGTGCCGGGCCTGTGTGTGTGTGTGTGTGTGTGTGTGTGTGTGTTTGTGTGTGTGTGTGTGTGTGTCTGTGTGTGTGTGTGTGTGTGTGTGTGTGTGTGTGTGTGTGTATGTGTATCTTGCTGTCAGTGTTTACGAGTAGTTTTTTCTTGAGAGATCACAAAGATATTTGAATATAATAAATAATAAAGTGTATTCTTACCTGAGCTACAGAGCAGTAGCATCATCAGCAGCAGCAGGTGATCCATGTCTCTCTTCTGTCTCTCTCTCTCGCTCTTTTTATTCTGAGCATCTCATGTTTTGTCCTCGCATTATATCAGCGTAAAGCGAGAGGTGGAGTCTCTCTGGAAACATATCTGATGGTATTGATATGGTATTGATATGGTATTGATATCTGATGGTCACTTCCCGCTCTCTTCTCTCTTCAGCTACATGTCAAATCATCACATCAGAGGCTGAGCATGATCCTATTTTGAGGGAAATGATTCAACGCTAGTCTTTAGAAGGAGAACAAGTAAACATAAATGTCTCATTTAAAATAACAAGCTCTTTCACACAGATACAGAACAACGAACATTGGGGTTTGCTGCTTCACATTTTTAAGCAACTAAAGAACTAAAAGCCCGACTGAACAAAGGCAGGTGCAAAAAACAAAGTGTGTAGAAAAGTAGAAGAAGGACTCAGAGATCAGAGTCACAGAGCAGAGGACCAGAGTCCGGGGAGGAACAGGTTCAGGTGGAACCAGCTTGGTTCTGACTATGGAGAGCTTCTGTAATCCTCATTAACCTGTTAAGCCCGGGTTAATGATTTTAACATTGCTTCTTACCTAGTTAGTATTCTTTCTTTTTATTTATGCATATTTTACTAATCACTCCCCTTTGAAACTGTTTTTGTCACCGTCCTATAGTACACATTGAAATGGTTTCTTACTCATTTTGTGATATTCACACTGAAGAGAATGATTTGCCCTAGACTTCTGAGGGAGTCAATAACGTATAATACATTATTTTACATATATTATATATTTATTTATATAGTCTTAAAGTTACAACCGGCCCTTTGAGTGCAAACTTAATGCTGATGTGGCCCGAGATGAAATAGTGTTTGACCCCCCTGCATTAGGGTGTTGATGTCAGGCCTGACTCTCAGCTTTATAAAAAGGGAAGTCTTCAGCTGCTCTTTAATGTGGACCCCCCCCCCCCCTCCCACCAACAGACTGGGGGCTGGTTCCACAGAAGAGGATCCTGAGAGCTGGAGGCTCCCATTAAGACTCAGAAAACCGGTTCTTATCTGGCCGCCAAAGAACCAAATGCATCACGCTTCAGCAGGGGCGGCATGGGGTGGCCACCCTAAAAAATAGCCTTGCCACCCCAGCTGCCACCCCAGTTGGCAGCTTTGTTTTGAAAGAAAGGTTGTGGCTCATCGGACGTTTATGAGAGAAAATCTCTAATGTCCGAGTGCAAGTGAATGCAGCACAAGGCGCTAGTCTTGTAACCCCCCCCCCCTGGCCCTGGCGCAAGCTTGGAAATATGATTGGCGGCGATTTCATTTGAACGGGGGGGGGGGGGGCAAAACGAGAAGCATTCAAAATGGTAATCGCCGCATTCAGCTGTTATAGGCGTGCCAACTTGATGCTCTGCTCACGGATGACTCGATGAGCATAAAAAACTGTTAAGATGATGACCTTGTGTGTGTATATTTTTTTTTTCTTTGTGGGGGTCTGCCCCCAAAAAACAGTTTTAAGTCCTGAGAAAGTCAAATAAGACGGTGTGTAAAACTACACTGCCCAGCCAAAAAAAAGTAACCACTTTGATTTAACCAGGCCAGTAGGTAAGGGCTTTCCACTGGATAATTACTGCAGCGATGTGTTTTAGCTGAATACACGTTTTTTAACCCTAACTGATGCAGTTAGTCACTTCTTTAATGTTTGTTCTTTCTGATGTAAAGTCAAGGTTGTAACTGTTTGCAGTAAAGTCGTGGGGCGCTGAACTGTTCCTTTGAATCTTTTGAATTTTGATACATGATATAATTACTAGGGCTGTCAGTCGATTAAAATATTTAATCGCGATTAATCGCATGATTGTCCATAGTTAATCGCGATTAATCGCAAATTAATCGCACATATTTTATCTGTTCTAAATGTACCTTAGAGGGATATTTTTCAAGTTTTTAATACTCTTATCAACATATGAGTGGACAACTATGCTTTATATGTTTGTTTATTATCATTTGAACAATGACAAATATTCTCATGAATATTAAACACAACAACCTCTGAACATTACAAATATTCGCCTCAATTCAACCTAGAACCTCTCTCATACAATACTGTGTGTGTGTGTGTGTGTGTGTGTGTGTGTGTGTGTGTGTGTGTGTGTGTGTGTGTGTGTGTGTGTGTGTGTGTGTGTGTGTGAATGTGGAGGATCGTTGGAGCTATGTGCAGCTCAAGGCATATATGCCTGTGTGTATGAGCTGTGTTGCGGCACTATCCATGCTGAGTGTGCTGTCTGGCTACCTGCATAAAGTCAAGTGCTCGGCGCAGTTGTCGGCGAAATGTCGCTCCTCTGTTTTCATTGAAACAGCTCCTTATATCCGTTAGCTCAGCTAGCTAGCACCAGATGCTAACAACAACACGTAAGGTGTGCTTCGCTCGCATACACACACCCTCCCGGTCCTCCCGATGGCCAGTCCGGGCCTGCCGGTGAGCGTGGAAGTGTGGTCTGCCACAAGCGGGCAGCAGGAGCGGGGCTGTCAGCATCAGCTTGTAGATGGTATTTTAAACTCGATGCGCTCTGAAACTACGGCGGCCGAGGACAAAAAATACACATGCGTTAATCGCGTTAAAATAATTAGTGGCGTTAATTTTTTTTTGCGTTAACGCGTTATTAACGCGTTAACTTGACAGCCCTAATAATTACTTGTCTTTCAAATTTGAAGGAGGGTGAGCAAGCATCTTGAGGAACATTCATCATTAACTCCTCCAAAAACTATAGTTTATTCAATAATAAATGAATATGTGAATCATAACAGTGATTGACAGCTGATAGGAATAATATGATTGTTAATAGTATCATATTCATTCAGACAAACATCGATGAGACAGTTAATTAATGTACTTATTGCAGCAGTCTTCATAGATTTGGTTCCCCTGCTGGTCTAAGAGTGAAACAAACTCATTCAGTTATTGGTCAGTTAAAATTCATTAAATTCTGTCTGCCACCTTATATATTTATATGTAAGGCTTTACTGATGTGCCACAATAATGTCACCTAATGTTATTGAATTAAAATATGAACATTGTGGCTTTCCAAGTTAACATTGATTGATATGACTGAGATTAAATCAGCATATACTTCTGCCAGGGGATGCCACCCCTCAGAATCTCCTGCCACCCTCTGAGCTTCAGTCAGAGAAGGGGGGGCGCTGAGCAAAGTGACTAGAACCACACACTGATATAGAGTGTCTTCAGAGACAGAGTGTGTCTTCAGAGAGTGTGTCTTTAGAGAGTGTGTCTTCAGAGAGTGTGTCTTCAGAGAGTGTGTCTTCTGAGCAGGGGTTAAATTGGGCCGGGGCTGTCTCTTGCACATGACGATACGCTGACGTCATCACCCTCGCACAGTTATCATATGTTTACAAAAAACGTTATATAGGCCTAAGTGAAAACTTTCCTCGTTCTTAATATAGACTATATTTAGGGTCGATATATTACGTTACATTACATGTCACTTGTTAGACGCTTTTATCCAAAGCGACTTACATACTCAATACTGTGGGCAATCCCCACAGGAGCAATTTGGGGTGAAGTGTCTCAGGGACACAACGACATGCTGACTGCAGTGGGACTCGAACTTGCTATCCTCTGATTTGAAGATCAGCGCATTAACCCACTGCGCCACACGCCTCCTCGTATATATGTATTGACTTTACTTTAAAATAGCAGATCTCTGTGACCGGATATAGTTTTTTCGGCTTGGTGAACGTGTGTCTCTGCTCCGATCAGGAGTTGCAGCCCGCAGCCAGAACCACCCCCCCCCCCCCTAACATCACCTGTCTAATAGCAGAGAAGCTTTAATAACGGTGCTGTGAGGCCGAAGCACTTCCATTCAGACTGACACACATTCACTCATGGGGGGGGGGTTTGCAATAGCTCCATGATGTGATGAGAGGTGTTGTGCAATACGCTGCATGTCCTTATCATAGGTGGTGTGTGTGTGTGTGTGTGTGTGTGTGTGTGTGTGTGTGTGTGTGTGTGTGTGTGTGTCTGTGTGTGTGTGTGTGTGTGTGTGTTTGTGTGTGTTTGTGATGTGCTTTAGTACATGTTTTTTTATAATTCTCTTTAACTTTGATAAGATCACATTAAGACCACATGACGTGTTTGAAACAGTTCAGTAGGAGACCAATTTCAAATAACAAACTCTTTCACACAGATACAGAATGACTAACATTGGGGTTTGTCTGCATGCGCATCTCTCCCAGATGAGCTGAATAGCTTTTTTGCATGTTTTGAGAGCAGCCAGGCTGTGGAGGCACAGAGGGACCAGGAGCCCTGCCCTTTTGTTTTAAACAGGGCAGATGTGTGTAAATCCTTTAAAACACAAGGCTCCTGGACCTGATGGCATCCCTGGCCGTGTTCTCAGGGTGTGTGCAGTTCAGCTGGCAGAGGTGTTCACAGACATCTTCAACAGGTCCCTGCTGCAGTCTGTAGTCCCACATGTTTGAAACACTCCACCATCGTTCCTGTCCCCAAAAAGACAAAAATCACCAGCCTCAATGACTACCACCCAGTAGCACTCACCTCCATCATAATGAAGTGCTTTGAGCGGTTAGTCAAAACCTTCATCACTGACTCTCTGGACCCCCTGCAGTTTGCCTACAGAGCAAAGAGGTCCACAGACGACGCCATAGCCCTCACCCTCCACACTGCCCTCTCACACCTGGACCAGAGGAACACATATGTGAGAATGCTGTTCATTGATTACAGTTCAGCGTTCAACACCATTGTGCCCTTCAAGCTGGTCATCAAGCTCAGAGACCTCGGGCTCAACAGCGCCCTCTGTGACTGGATCCTGAACTTCCTGACGGGCAGACCCCAGGCAGTGCGGGTGGGAAACATCACATCCTCCACCCTGATCCTCAACACCGGTGCCCCTCAAGGCTGCATGCTCAGCCCTCTCCTCTACTCCCTGTTCACTCACGACTGCATGGCCACACACAGCTCCAACACCATCGTGAAGTTTGCTGATGACACGACCGTCATCGGCCAGATCACAG